GTGTTCCAGTTATAAACAAACACCCTGTGCAAAAAATTAAATTTTTCTCCAAACGTCAAAAAAACGTCACTTTGTTAACCCCTGTCAAGATGTCAGAAATTTGATTTCTATGCTGCGAGGCAAATCCAGCGGGTTAACACCTGTCGAGGTGGTAGAAGTTTAATTTCTATGCTGCTCGGCAACCCCAGTGGCAGCAAAAGTACTTTTAGTGCCGCTCGTACTTTTACTGCCGCTCAACCATTCACTTGCCCCCGAGCTTACCCCATTAGTTTGGAGAAAAAATAGCGTGTTGCATACGGAGTAGAAGCACTTTTTTGTGCTTCAGCAGTATCGCAAGCCTCACTACGTTCGGCTCGCAAGACTACTGCTTCAGTACAAAAAAGTAAAGCTTCTACTCCTAATACAACAATATACTATTTCTCAGGAAAACAAAAAAAAAAGTTATTCCGATACCGGGAATCGAACCCGAGCCTCCTGGGTGAAAGCCAGGTATCCTAGCCACTAGACCATATCGGATTATACAGAAATACATTCTTAACATAGTCTTATATATCTTCTCCAAATTAAAAAGTCCTACCTAATAATTAATAATTTTCTTTTTTACTCCAGGTATTGAGTTCCAGATTCCAGCTAAAATCAAAGAGACACAAACTCATATAATTAATTCAATTTTTGAGGATTATGAAGAACAAGTAGTAACGTTTTAAAATCGTTGACGCGACCTATTGTCAGAATTATTTCATGACAAAAAAATTATTCGAGTAGATTTGTACTTTGTATTAATACTTTTTAATTAGCAAAGCGTTTTTTTGCTAAGATAAAATGTTTGTATTATTATAGTCATGCAAGTAGGATGGTACCAGCATAGAAGCAAAATCCTATAAGAGGCAGCGTGGCCGAGCGGTCTAAGGCGCTGGTTTTAGGCACCAGTCCGAAAGGGCGTGGGTTCGAATCCCACCGCTGTCAATACTTTTTTTTGTGCTTTTTTCTTGGTGTCGCTTCTATTTACTATTCTTCAAATTTGTATATGCCTATTATACTCCGAGGGCGTCCAAACTCATACCACGAAACTCAAAACAAAACTTGCTAGTTCGTTCCCGATCGTCTCAAATTCGCTGGACCATTGCACGGGAAAATCTAAAATTCTATCTGCGAATTTTCTAGTCTTCAGGCGACAGGCACACAGAGTTGCGAGATTGTGCACTTTTACTCGAACTTGATCTATCACACTGGCCTCATTCTTACCCTAATAGCACAACATATTCAGAGAATGTTCCAGCAAAGTCCTGCGAAAGTTTGAATGTCCTAGTCTTTGAAGGAATGTTCCTGGAATATCTTTTCAGGCAGGCAGGTATGTTCACAGAATATTTTATCAGTATATTCTATGAATGTTCTAGGAAAGTCAAGATTTTTTAGACATAAAATGAATGTTCAAGGAATATTTCTGCAGGAGGTTCAGTCTTATGCACGGAGTTTGTAAAAAAAAATTTAATAGATGTGTATTTTTGAAATTGTAATGATAAAAATGATAAAAAAACATTCCTGGTATATCCTAAGGAAATCCAAAAAATATTCCCTGAATGTATACCTACAGAACATACGAAGATATTCGGTGAATGTTCAATAAAATGTTCACAGAACATTCAAAATGCTGACAAAGGCTTTTCCCTGAATGTTCCTGGAATGTCTTAGAACATTTGGAGACATTCATGGAATGTTCCTTATGTCCAAAATGTATGTTCTGCGAATGTACATGGAATGTTATGTGCTATTAGGGTAGGCCCGTATTCATAGTCGATGCTCAAGGTTGCGTCTTGGCTCAAGTACGACTTGACGCCATATTTACATTTCCAAACAGCACAACTGTCAAAAATCAGAGCTTGAGCCAAGCACACGTCTATGAATACCGGGCTTAAACCTGTAAGTTTGCCCCGAACAACTTCTCCTAATCGCATCCAGTATCAGGCCAGCTTTTCTATATACGTGTTACGTGTAGCTACATCCTCTGGCTTGGGTATCGGAGAAAGTTGAATTTTGAACAGCAACGTCCAGCAACGAGTATCTTCTTAACGATCTTGTATCGATTCTCTCACGGTCTTTGTAATTTCTAGCTCAATCCCGGTCACCGCTGTGACTAATTCAACCAAACGGCGCGGCGTCGCCTTTATTGAAGGTGATCGAATCGATGGCTGTCGTGTATCGAGTAACATTTTCATTCGATCGCTCCACCTGTTCCTGAAGTCATTAACTACTTTGAGCCTGTCTGTCATGGAGAGCAGAGCAGCCACGAGAATTGAAAGGAAAGACAGCTTCATCTCATCGGTTAGTGTTCTACTAAACATTAGATTTACAGGAAGCCACTTATCTTTAAGTTAACAGCATTGTAAGGATGGTGTACCAGCTCGTTGATTCGTGCTGATTGCTTCTATAAGCCAGATAGGAGAGGGGCTCCATTTTTTCCCAAGTTCTCAGGTGGCAGGTGCTCTGGTGTTCATCAACAACCATCGAGTATGGATTGATGGTCCGATTGTGCCTTTGTGGATAAAGTGGCATCGTTTTCGTTTTTCTTCTTCCCATTGGTAGCATCAGTTGTTTTTATACTTAAAACTTTCCTCGGTATGAAGTTCGAAGTTCGATCGGTATGAAGTTCCTTTGGTACTCCGTAGCATCAATATCTATAATACCGATCTCATACTCGACCCAATGCCGCATTAACTCCGAAATGGTCACGGAAATTTTTTCGCCAGGTCCTGTCCGGTAGCATCATCTAGTTCTTTCTCAAAGTCTTCCTTGGTAAAAGTAATGTTGTTGACTCGTTAATATAAGTGTTTCGGTATACCTAGCTCTAAGTATCTATGGAACAAGCCAAGCCCAAAGTTTTTGACTGCTTCCTTTTTTTCTTGTCTTCGGCAAAATTTACAACAGTAATTAATATATGGGCTGTCGGCGATAGCATGACTTCTTGATCCTCTGCGATGCTTACCTAATTTATTCAACTAACGAGCGATTAGATCTACAAAGTAAAATTTAGCAACCACTGCAAGGCAAAGTAGTCGGCTGTAACCAGGAACTTGCTTCCATAGAGGAAACGGTACTAATGCTCAATGGATCTAACTACTGCTAGAACCTCCTTTCGGGTGACTCAATAATTTCGGTCTGGCTTATTTTCCCAATAATGATATCTTCTTCGCCAATCGCTCCTATTCCATTTTGCGATGCCTAGGTGTCTAACACAAACGAAACAGTTGTTCATCCATACGCTAAAACTGGTCAATTTGTTTTCAGCTTCAGGAAAGTCTGTCGACATTCTCACAATAATCCAATCAAAATGGACGTTTTCGCAGTAAGTTGGCGTAAAGGCCAATGTTCCTAGAAACTTGAAAACCCTTATCCAACCGACGGTAGTAACTGCAGAGGCCTAGCGGAAACTTCTCAGCTTATGTAAATTTTGTTCTTTGGTCTGGGTCAATAATCTTGTACCGCCTGTACTATTTCTGGATCTGTGTCTATTTCTTTTGAAGAAACTACATGTCCTTAAAACAAGATACATTTCCTAGGATTCAACTATAGGTGTTTGTCACAATTTTTGCCAATCACATCGACACCTAATATAGGTAAACTTATCTACTCAGCAAGTATTATATCAGTTCGATGCTGTTCGAATCTCCTTTAATTAGCTGTTTTTTGCAGCGGTTTATTTTTCAAAAACCTCATAGTTATGGCATTTCATATTTCCGAAACTGTTTCGACAGTTTTTGAAAACTTGGGTTTGCTCTTAAGTTATTGTCTCGATTGCCCATTGCAAACTTATAAATGGCCGCCCTGTATGTTGCGATCTGATATAAACTTTTTGAATTGGTAATTTTCAAATTTGAACTTGAGAACATTTCCTGCCACATGTTGTTTGTAAGCTGAAACCTCTCACGCCTCAAAATTGATAAATGGCTCTTTAGGATAATGCGGGAGAACTATTACTAACTTCAACAACTATCGATTAATTAGCAGATTGTGAACGCTTGACAAATTTTAACAAAATCCGAGAAAGAATTACTTACTACCTACCAGGGGCGCAGCCGGGGGGAACCCGGGCCCCTCCAAGGCTTCAGAGAAAAATAGAAAAATTATGAAGCAGACAAAAGCTGTAAACTGCTGTGTATATTCCTATCCTATATTTTTTTCTGTATGGCCGCCCTCAGACAAAACGTCTGGCTGCGCCACTGCTACCTACTACTGCACATTTTTCTCATCTTTCGTATTCGTCAATGAAATATAACACTAAAAATCCATTTTATTCAAGATCAAACTATATTTACTTTTTACATTAGATAAGTCAAGTCGTGTTTGAGATTTCAATATAGTTCCATTTCCATCAGACATTACTTTTTATGACGCTCAGTCGAATTGCAGTTTTCAAAGCGATATTCTTTCAATAAAGGGAATGTGACAAAGTGAATATCAAACGACTGATGTTTCTATGAGCATTGTCGACTTTTGAGCACACTAGGATAGGTACGGAATTTGATTTTAAAAAAAAGCTAAATAACAATAATTCACAATGTTTCTTTCTTGAAATCAAAGTTGATAGTAATTATGTGCAAGTGAAGAAAATGTGATTTACAGAATATTCAAAAAAAAAATCGAAATTTTTCATTGGCTATATCTCCCATAAATAATTCATGAAAAATAGAATACCAAATAGCCTAACTAATAACTATTAGTTACTTTTTTTTTGGGTCTTTCAATATAAGGAAAAAAGATCTCGTCTTTGTTCAGATTTATATCCACTTATAGACTTATAGTTTCTTTGCTTATAGTATACCTATGTATTTTATTTAAGCCGAACGAAATGAAATACAAAATCCCGACCAGAATGACAAGTCACTATATGGGTCCTTCGGGATAATCCCAGTTTTTCCCCGGAGAACTTTCTCAAATATTGGCTCTGAAGAATTGAATTTATGGCTTTTTCTTTTGTATACCTACAGATAAAATAAAAAAACTGGAAAAAAGGACTTTTATTATACTAAATACCACTTACTTACATTTGGAGGTGACAAAAAATAGAAAATAACAACATTAGCTGAAATCTTATACAAGAAAATAATAACAATACCAAATACATATATTTATTTTGATCACAAAGGTTAAATAATGACTAGAATAATTAATTACAAAAATAATCTTAAGCTACTACATAATAAGGAAACACAGGAGGATTAAATGGTAAAACCACATTAGCTGGAGTCACCGCATTACTTTGCACTAAACCATTTCTAGGTTCCACTGTTTCAGAATCTGGATCTGTTTCATTTATTCCATCTCTACCATTCACTTTATCTATGCCGCAAAACGTGCAAGGTATTGAAGTAGTTACTTCTTCTCTATCTTTATTTTTTTCTGGTGCTGAAGCTCTTCTAGAAATTCCAGTATGTTGCGGCATTAGTGGCCTAATTCTTCTACCAAATTCAGGATATGTTTCATCGAAATCTGGACTATTTTGGTTTAGCGAATAAGATCCTATTTGATTAAATCTAGGATATTGTGCTGAATTTGAGAATTGTCTTCTTTGATCTCCTTGATTAAACAGTGGATCGAGTCCTCCATCGGGAATATCTTCTGATCTACTTCGAAAATCTGGGTACCTTCGGTTTGGAATATTTGATGGATTAAATCCATCATATTCTTCATCTGTTCCACGTCTTAAATCTGGCTCATATACAGGATATCTTTCGTTTGGATTAAATTGAGGTCCAAATTCTCCATCCATTCTACGTCTAAAATCTGGACTATTCAGCGGATATCTTTCGTTTGGAATAAATCCAGGTCTTACCCTACCTTGTCTTAAGGTTGGATCCTGTTCATCCATTACCCCACGAAAATCTGGCCCATTTAATGGATATCTTCTATCAAGAGGATTATTTGGAATAAATTCAGGTCCTCTACTCTGTCTAATATTTGGATTAAATCCATTAACTATTGCAGCGCCATCTCTAACCGCCAAACTTTGAAAATGTTCAGGTGTTGAGATGTAATAGGAATATTCATAAGGCTTTGCCGAGGCGCACGTCACACTAAAGACAATAAAAATTATACCTAACACTTGCATATTGATTGAAACCAGTTTATTGTACTGAATTGCCAAATAGATTGCTTTGAGCTTTTATATGATATTTCGTAAGAGTGCATTGGCGGAGAATAAGCGACTAAAAATAATAATAATGGATTAGACAAAAAAAATTGTGAATGAAAAAAAATAAAGCTTTAAATACCTACCTTCCTACCTACCTGAGAAAACTTGAAATTCCGGGAAAAAATTAACCAAGACATAATTGTCTAATATCAAATCGGTTTATATGTAGGAACACAGAAAGTAGGTACTACGCTAATGAAAATAATAATTAATTGTTTTGAATAAAAATGCAAATTTTAATATTTAGCTTTGCCAAAATAGGCGTTATTACTTATCTAGGTGGGAAATATTCAGCTCACATACGAAAACAAGGATGTCGAAGATCTGAATTTTAATTTGGAGTTTTGGCAATGACTTTCTTAAAGCATTGACCAATTTTTTTTTTTTAGTGATAAGAAAATCAAACTTTATTATTAATCAGGATGCCATGTTTTTGGTATAGGATCGCCTTCACACATATTAAAATCTAATTTATAAAATTTAAGTTATCAAATAGGTACCTCCGTTTCTAAGCCCTAAGCTCGTACCTATTAGATTTGTGTGGGCACGATTAATTCAGATTGTTCTACCAGCGCTCAACGACTGACGGACTAATATGCCAATGTTACTTCCATATTCACCAAACCTTAAACTTAAATATTCACGAAATTGATCAAAAATTAAAATGGTTATTGGCAACGGCGCCCGCAGAATTTGTCACAGGGGGGGGCAAATAAACTGCTCTTGGGGGAATCGTGGAAAACGCACCGCAGGCGAAAATTTTTTTTTGGGCCACCCCCAAATTTTGCTATTTGTAACTAATATAATAAACAATAAAAAATAAAACAATTTGGAAATACTTTTATTTCGGAGGTGCACAAATTACTTTTCCTTGTGGGAAAAAAATTTAAAAAAATTGTAATCAAAACTAAAACAACACAACGTAAATGGAATATTCCAAATTAAAAAAATACATTTTTCCGATCGATGAATTGACACCATAGCCAAGCCATCCAGTTTTTCATTTGACATGGTCGATTTTAACCAGGTCTTTAATCTTCGTAAGGTGCTGAATGATCGTTCAGCTGTGCAGGTCGTAGGCGGAATGCTCATGGCCAGAGATAAAGCCAGAAAAATGGATGGATAAAATTCTTTGGTTTTCGATAATACGTCAAGAGGTGAAGCTTTACCTAATTATTATTTTTTTTTTCTCTTTTATTTTTAAGTAGGTATTTAAATTAATTAAAAGCCAGGGGGGGGGGCATATCCAAATAAAACCCAATTAATTTACATTTTAAGACTCACTTCTACCGTGCTTACATTATTCTTTGCAAATACTGACTTTTAAATTGAAGCTCTCTAGACAAACGTAAATAAAAATTATTAAAGAGGAAAAGCCTCCAAACATTTTCAAGAAAAATTATTCACTGCGTATTTTCCACGAGATTGCCTGGCGATTTCAAAAACCATTTAAATGAAATTACTTTTGTAACATTCAAATTGCATTAAGGGGTTATAGAGAATTTCTCAAAAAAACAACGCTTTGAATAAACTAGAATAACAATTAAAAATACCTAAATTGAATTTGATTTAATTTTTTTAGAAGGCGAATTACGTAATGGCTGCTGATTTTTGTTAGGTAATTATTATTCCTAAAGCACCAACTTGTGACTGCTTTTTTTGGCAGCGAACTAATCCCTATTTGGTTCCAGGTCATTACAAATATAATTTACAATAACACATAACGACCTTAGCAAAAAAATAGTATATAATACTCACAAATTTGCAATTCTAGCATAGTTCACCGTTTGCAACCGACAACAAAATGTATTTCCAGCTCTTTATAGTTGCTCTCCTTACTTACGTTTCTGTAACTAATGGAGAACCACCAAAATGGAGAACTAATAGCAGATTTAGGCAATTGCAAAGGCTTGAAGCACCACCAGCTCAGTCGCAATGGAAACCATCTTCGGCACCACAAGCTGCTTACGGACCTCCAACTCCTGCACCAAGTTATGGACCACCACCGACACCAGCGGCCAGTTATGGACCACCTCCAATGCCAGCTGCAAGCTACGGACCACCTCCCGCACCTAGTTATGGTCCACCACAAGAAGAACCGTCATTAACCACGACAGAAACTCAAGAAGGTACAACGGAAGTTGCAAATACCACAGAGGCTAATGCTGAGTTGATAGCGCAAACTGGACGTTTACTAAATAGGCCTCAGGGCTCGTATTATATTTACCATCCTAGTGGTTTGCTTCAGAAAGTGACGTATGTTAAAAATGATGATGCAAAGAAAATGTCGCTAGATGTTAAGTTAAAGTATGAAAATGTTGATCCCATTAGGGGTCCAGTTTATACTTATGACCCTGAAAGTTTAGTATTTCAAAAAGTGTTTAAATGATTTTTTTGAAATGCCTATATAAATAATAAGAACATATTTATTTTGTTTCAATTAATTATTAAAACCTAATATAATTTCAGTTGCAAACGTTTCGGAAAAAATATTTTGTGTAGGTACGGATGCTCTGTGCAATGAATTTTCATAAAAAATTTCAGTAATCATACACTTGAGTCGCATCAAACAGTAGAGTAGAACATCCACCTAGTCTCCCACGCAAATTTGAACAGCTGACGGACGGATCCCATTATTTAAAAAATGCCTTAGAAGGAGTCTCTTCGGACAGGAAAAGAGACGAGAAATTGAATTGATTTGTTACTATACTTCTTACAATGAATGAGAAGCAGAACGAAATACTTGGATGCTCGGGAAATTATCTCAAATTTGGCATGAGCATAAAATGTAACAAAAAAAAGAAAGATGAAACATATAAAATTGGAGGCCATGGTTAGGAGACTGAATAAGGGGAGGGCCTCAGATGTTAAGGTGATTCAGAGGATAGGCGGAATTAACTACACAAACATTTAAAAAACGACAGTCAGTACCTACTAGTTTAAACGACAAAAAAAGTAAATGCTGACCTGGCACTATAAGAAACAAAATTGTTAGGGCCTCTAACTGAGGTGTCAACATTTAATTTAGAGCTAGATCACTGGATCATAAAGGGAATGGGTATGTCACTGTTAAATAATGCACTCACACTTCCAGTTTATATCTCTCTATTGTTGCCAAAATAATCGTTTAATAAAGTAATAAATACTGTAACCACATTCAAGTAAGTACTTTTAATTATTCACAGGTTAGTTAACAAGTCGCATTTGAGTTATTCGAGAACATTCACTAATAGGTATAAATACACTAGTTGCTAAGTACTCAATAGTCAATTTAACAATAATTGTCAGTAATAGCGGAACGCTAATATTTTAATTGAGAGCACAAGATAAAGTTTATTCTTAATAGAAATCTTCGGGAGTTGAGAGTTTTTATATTTTTAAAGAGCCCTTAAAAAAGGGGAGTGTGATTAACTCAATGTTTTACGCGATATTATATCACTTGAGTTTTCAAGCCAGCAGCCAGAGAGATAAAAAAATAAGTCTTTTTATTTAGAGAGCGAGAGAGAGAGACTGCACAAGGGTGCAACTAGAGAGAATAATTAAATAATTAGAGAAAAGTGAGCAGGTTCAAACTTGTATAGAGCTAGACGTTTTTACGCACTATTTACTGCTAGTGAAACCACACTACTAAAATCACAAATCACACTGCGAAGTGAAAAAGAGAGGGAATGCATTTTTTCCCCTAGCGACAAACAACCAGACTGGGTCGATGCGTACAGCCTGGTACGGCGCCATTTTGCAAGTTTTTCACGGCGGGGGGCTTTTTTGCAACGTTGCCACTGTGATCATAAAAAATAAATATGATTGTTTGGCTGTTTCCACAACAAAAATAATAATAATTGTTGATATTTTATTATAAGTAGTAGGTATAATTTGTATTTTATCGAAGAGTATGTTTTTATTTTTGTCTCATAAAAGGTAGATTATACGAAATTTGTGTTATGAAGTCTTATTATAATCCATCCACACAAAGTACACACAATTACCTTCGTTTCTGTTGGGTAATTATGATCCGTTAATTTCGCGCTAAGAGCCTTATTTAGTGCACAGCAAGAAGTGTTTTGCCTTCTTGACATGCACGTGATGTAGTTTAGCTTTAGCAAGCGAAACTAAACGCTTCATTTGCCAAATTCAGAACAAGACCGCAAGACAACGCTTAGAGCCAGACTATTAATTTGCTGAGTATTTACATAGCGACAGAGCTACAACGCGGACAACGCAGCAACATTACGTGAAATTTCTCGAAGCAAATAATATTTAATATTCTTGACAAGATTATAAAGTTGAGTTTACGTGCTCTCCGCATTTTCTAGTGTAGGATCGAAAATTGAATGGGGAATGCTTGAAGAAGATCCAGAATATTTGGGGACAGGTTAACATAATAAACACCTCAGGGGATTGATATAACCTTATATTAAATTGAAAATTTTGTGTTTGCCAATGTAATGAGTTTAAGGTTTGTCATCTTATTATATTCTCTTGAAAAAGGTTAAAGCATTATGCAAGAAACTTCCATTGGATTGTTACATGGTTATGTAAAATGAAATCTCAATTAGTATTAAAAATTATTATTCTCATTTCTTATTTGACAATATGTAGAATTGAATGTTAATCATTTTCATTATTTATTATTTTCAATAATGAAACTATTATTGAATTTGAATAAACAACAGCTAAAATAATGCATTGGGGCGCAACAATGCCCGCAAAATATAAATCAACTTATTGCCATTTATTCCATTGATTAGTTTTGCTTTTAACATTATTTCTGTGCCCAAATTGTTAAATATTCATCTATTCTATAGCATCGAATACAAAATAATTTAATTTTTCCTGATTAATAATAGTATATTACATACGGAGGTGGAAAGTGTTTCATTATGGTTGACCGAGGTGCGAAGCGCCGAGGTCAATCAATTCTAAAGACAATATTATGTGAAACTTTCCACCGAAATATGTATACCATTTTATTTTGAACCATTAATTATTGAAAAAAAAAATATGGTAAAAATATGACAAAAATGGAATTTTGACTGACACTCTAACATATTGACATCTTATGTTTCCGGAGAAAGAAAATTGAACAATAAACACATGTGATATCTACTTCTAAATACAAACCTTGCATCTGGATTTGTGTTTAGGTGTGAAAGAACAATTTAAGGGGGTTCTTATTCTTGAAACAGGGAAGCAGCATTCCCAGGAGAACGAGTGTTCCGTCTTTGTTACTTATATTATCAGTTGCATATCATTGAGAAAGACGGAACACTCGTTTTCCTGGAAACGCTGCTGCCCTGTTTCAAGAATAAGGACCCAGGCCGAAAGTGAGTTCTCCAGGCCGAAAGTGACAAGAGAACTGTCACTTTCGGCCCGCTTGAAAGTAGACAAAAGTTAAAAGTAAAGTGACATTTTCGAACCTTCAAACCACTGAGAAATGTGAAAATTACATATATAGTGAAATTACTTAAATAGTGTATGCACGTGATCAATGACGTCGAAATTATTGCCAATTGCAGTTTGTAAGAAATTAAAATCCGTTTCAAGCTGAGAGCTCATTCTTTTTTTTATTTAACCTTAGTTGAAAAAAGACAGAACACTGTTGGCATTTAACCGAATCGGCCGATAAAATGACATTTAGGTTGGCACTCATGGGTTACGTTGCCAAATATTGCTGCAAATCTGCGGTTACTGATTTTAATAATTTGAAATTATTTCTATTTGTGTATCTATAAAATGCCAAAGTCATTGAATAGTAAGAGTCAGAAACTTATTGCGTCTCTAATTAGTTTCTATGAACAGGAACGAGATAATGGGGGCCCCTTTTTGCCATTAAATAGCGTTACAGAGGTAAAGTATATTGATACTATCAAATATAAATCTTCTGGGGCTTTAATTGGGAATATTTTTCCAGCGTGTTGCAGCTGCACTGAATATTGGTATAACCACTGTGAGTAAAATCCAATGTAAAATCTCTCAAAAAGTTAGGGATAATTTAACGTTAATTTGACCAAAGAAAAAACGTCCACATAAGAAGCGGGTTACGAATCAAGATCACCTTGATGTTAGCTCTATTCGCAATCAAATTTACGACAAAAAGTGAGTAGTTTTTTTAGATTGTGTTCATAATACACTATCTATACATATAAAAATCGATGTTTGTTTGCTTTACTGATAACAAATTTTACTAGACATGGTATGTCAAAGTAAAACGAACGTTAATATCGGCAACATTGCGACGTGCTTATGTCATTAATTTTGATCACGTGCATACACTGTGTAATTAATTTCACTACACCTATGTTTTAAAATAAAACATATTTTATTCTATCGCGAATGGTAAACTATCATTTGTTCGACTCAAAACTCGTTGTCAAAGTAACACACTTTATCTGAAATAGGGAAATCGAATATTTTCACCCACTCATGACAGTTTTACCCAGTCATGTCAATTTAACCCACTCATGTCAATTTTACCCACTCATTCGTTAATTTTACCCACTCAATGGACCGTCAGCTAATGACAGATTTTGCTGACCGATTTTCTCTCTTCGGGGATTTTAACCACTGAAAATTATGTCAGCGTTGAGCACAAAAAATGAAAATTTAGCGACCGGACGTTTGCTAGGCGTATGGAAAATGTATTTTTCTTTTGCAGAAAAAAATAGGTTATTTTTTCAATTTCTCTTTCATGGCATTTTGATACAAAACATTATAGAACAATCTCATAATGAAAAACCAAAGCCAAGGTTTGCACGTACTGAAACGGTTGAAATAAGGGTGCGATCTCGTGGAAGCATATTCGGTTGCTGATCGTTTTCTCGCTTATGGCAATCGACAGAATCAAATTTGATATCGTTAGAAACAGAGAGAAAATCAATCAGCAAAATCTGTCATTAGCTGACGGTCTAATACTTGATGATCATTTATTTCAAAACAAAAGCATCATGAACATTTTAGACAATTTTTCGTTTTTTTGGTAAATATTTCCGCTGAATAATAAAATAGGATGTTATACACGACGGTAAAAAAGTTTTACCTGTTCGTGGAATTAATCCACTCGCTCCTTCGTCGCTCGTGAATCAATATTTCCACTCGCAGGTAAAGCATCTCTTCACCGTCATGTATAATAAATAACTATTTACTGTTTAAATTTTACTAGAAAACTAAATCAAACAGATAATAATTCCAATATTGTCGTCTAACAATTCCATTTTCATTAATATGTATTGCCAGGCTTGTTATTGATAGTTTTTCAAAAAAAATCCTTCACTTTGATTGTTTATTTCTGGGTCAGTGTTAAATTCGTGTTTTTTTTCCCGAAAAAAATCCTATAAATACAATTTTATTTTTCATTTTACATTAACTCAGTATCAAGCTTTTGTACTGAAACAATCATCATGATTTCAAAAATTTCAATTCTATTACAAATTGTATTTTCCGTTGCAATTTTTGCTGAACCACCATCAAACCAAAACCAAGGCTATCCATCATCAGGATGGCGCCCAGCAGGACCTGCCTTCAAACTACCAGAAAGGCAATATTTACCGCAAGTTGATTTGAGTTATGGAATACCACAAAAGACATCAACAAATAATAATGGTAATATTGAACAAGCAGAACCAAATGTTGAATATGGTGTCCCAGAGACTAGTATACGTTACAAAGGTTTTGGAAATTATGTTGATCTGACATATAACGCTCCACAAGACACTTTGTCAGTACCACCAAATCAACCAGCAGTCACTTACGGGCCTCCACAAGAAGAAACTACAACTGTACTACCATCTACTACCGAAGTAGAAATTACCACTACTGAGTCACCTACTACTACTGAAGAAAACGAAAACCCTGAAGAAGGAAGTGGGTATATTGCACAAAAAGACAATTATAAAGATGACAGTGAAAATAGTCAACAAGGAATTTATTATATTTATCATCCAAGTGGTCTGTTGCAAAGAGTAGCGTATTCTACAAAAGATGATCTAGCTAATATGGCTTACAGTGCTCAGTTAAAATATGAAAATGTTGAACCAATTCGAGGCCCAGTTTACACCTACGACCCAGTTACCTTTTCATTTAGCAAATTGTATAAGTAAGGAGTTTATAACATTAAAATAAACTAAAGTTTTTATTTGAATTGAATTGTTTTTGTTTTATTTATGCTCTAAATAATTAATATATTAATGGATTATTGCAATTGACAACCCCAATTATTATTATTCCTATTTTAGTTAATATTCAATATATTAGGGACATTATGAATAAAGCACACACATTTATATTGAGTTATTTATTGTAGCTTTTTAAATACATAAGTGATAGGATCATAAGTATAAACGGGTTCAACATTTTCATATCTAAGCCTAGCAGAAAACGCCATTCGTTCTAAATTATCCTTAGTTGCATAAGTAACTTTTTGTAGCAATCCTGTGGGGTGATAAATGTAGTATGCCCCATCGCTATTTTTATTTTGTGTGAGTTTTCCATTCAGTTTTCTTGATCTTTCGTCAATAGTTTCGAAGTCTTTTCTAGTGGTAGCCTCAGCAATTACATCATTTGGAGGTCCGTATTCTTGTGGTAAACCTTGCTGTTGTCTTTGACTTCCAACAGGTGCTTGAGCTTCAATCAAAGCCACCAGCAAACCGAAGCAAATAAAATTAACAATATTCATTGTGCTTGTAAATCAAATACTAACTCCCATGAGTCATTTGTCTGTTATTTATATAAGGCATTGGTTATAATATTTTATTCAAACGATGTCTAGCTTTTCCACTGACCTAAACCTATTTGGGCAAGAGTAATGCCATTAAAAAATAAAAGTTATTGTTTTAAAATGTGTTATTACAAGCGATTATTAGTTTTGCCTACCAATTATAGAATGCGGACGGAATAAATTTATAAGTATGGCAATATGTACATTCCTACGTGCTTCTCCTTGTGGACTTCTGTGGAATGCAATTGAAATATGAGTTTATTAGACAAAAATTTGTGAGTTTTGTATTTCCACGGTGCCGAGAGGCCAGAGAGAGTATCGTATTTTGCTTCAAAGTCAACTCCTACTTAAACAAAGAAACTTATGTGAAAAGCTAACAACGCGTCCGCACAACACATTTACGTGAAACTTTTGTGCATTACAGGCATAATTTCCTAGTCACTTTTGCAATTATTTACTATTGCAGCGGATATCTTTATAAATTATCTTGCCCTGGAAGTAAAATACGACTTCCCCTAGCTCCAGTTTATTTCACAGTGTGTAGACATCTTTATTACCAAGATTAAAACTTTCAGGTGCATAAGTTTGAAATATTTCTTTACTTTGGATTTCCTTCTGTGTGTTTATTGCTACCTTTATTGCATTTTTTCACAAGACAATCTAGAGCTAGAGTTAATTCAATTAAAAGTTAAATTTTACAATCCGTCGAGGACTATACATTAAATTACTAGAAGGTTTTCAGAGTTGACTTTATAAGTTAAAGTAAGAAATAATTTTGACAAAAAAATTACAATATCTGTTTAGGGTGAGGAATATTCAGGAATGTGATTGAAATAAACTAGCAATGACTAGAGATTTCTAGATTGCATGGTTTTGTATAGTAGTTTGTAATTTAGAGTTAGTTTAAATAAAATAATTGTTGCATGAAGTTGAGTAAAAGCGATAAATGATTGGCGAATTAAAACCAATAAGTTCAATAAAAGGTCTCGTTGCTACCATTGAAAGTTTTAGTGAGGCTGCGGAATCCGTGACAATTTGGTCACGCACAAGTTGGATAATAAAGCAATAGGAAAATTGGCGCATTAATTTATAATAATTAGTGAAATAATTGGTGAGAAAACTAGTTAATTAGTCTGAGCTTATTGAGAAAATAGTTCGCGAGATAGTTAGCAGACTGGTTTGAGCTAATCAGTGCGGGAGCAATACTAATAGACCCTGATATATGGACTGTTTAGTGTCTACGGAATTTTCCGCAGAAAACTCAATTTCGAACTGTGATTATCGTCTGGCAATTTTTCAGCGTTGTTTTCACAACAAAACCTTTTATTCTCTCGGACTCTCGGTTGCCAGACAGAAAGTAAATGCGGAAGGTTCTATACTCTTCTTTCGCTAGTTGACACCACTGATCTCAAAAATAAATGGATAAACAATAGTACGGCTTAATCAAGCTAAACTTGTGCGAAAATTTGGGGTCAATATTTTACGAAGAGTTGTGCAGCGGAACAGCCTAACTATTGGGAAATGGACTAAGAAATAAAAGAGCTTGTTAATTATCGATATTCAATATATTTATTATATCAAACACACCGTGGAAAGCAGAGCGTGTGAACTCATAGAAATAACTATACGAACTGACTCAACATCAAGACAAAGAATTACAAACCCTTTCTTAAGTAAACGATTCCTCATCTGTTCAACAACAACAACAACATATAAAAACTATTATAAACACATTCAGTCATACATAGCTGCGATATAAATTAGCAAAGTATAGGCTAATAATCAAAGTTTAATTTATTAATTTTTGTTTCACTGATATGAATATCAGTTTATCCAACACTCCACCTCAAAAATTTGATCAATTATACTAAAAGTGTAATACAACTTAAACCTAGTATAACATAAATAGGCCCTTTCCTTATGTGTGTCTTTTCTGGGGAAAATTACGATAACGGTCCAGCATTTGCTGCTCGGGATTAGGGAAAACCCAAAAAAACCTAATCAAACCATTTAACTTATTTACCAAGCCTAATTCCATTCTAATTTCTCAAATTTCACTTGCATCAATGGTTTGGTAAACATGTCTGCTAGTGGTTTATCTGTGGACAAATTAATATTTTATATTAATTACGATCAATTCAATATGATTTAAATAAATATCCTGTTGTGCCTTTTATATTGTTTATATCATGCATCTCCACCTTAGTCAGGATTAATAGAATCACTCAAGAAATTAATATATTCACAACTAAAATATTGTGTCAACTTCACCTTGATTTTACCCTTAAGATATCTAAGGACCCTTTTCAGATATTTCCAAAACTCTTTATTATTCTTTAATACCTGCTCAAAATATTAACAGTGGTACCTACTTAAATCAGGCTTGATATACATAACATAATATACATAAAACAGACGATTAGATTCCGGCAAGGGCTATCATGTTTTTCTTCTGAATTTAAACCAATCAAATTCAGTTTACTAGGAAGTGGAGTGCTGACACAGCTGATGGCACAACAGTCATTCATATTAAATTTATGTAAAATAGTTTTCATGTATATCTACCAAGTAATGTTGACTAAAACCACGAGCATCTAAATGGTTTTCCAATTTCATCATTTTCAATGGAAAATATCCATTTACAATCCACTATATTTTTATATTCGGGTCTTGATACTAACGACCACGTTTTATTTACCAATAATGAGTGAATCAATATCATTTGGTAGATCTGTTTTAATCACAGATTTACTATACTCACTATTTAGTTTAATGAGTTTATTAGGGTTAACATTTACCTACTTTCCTGGATTGTTACGCATCTGATTTAGCTATATCAGATTTATTAACCAAACCACCGATCTTGACAAACTGCCACTTTCAGGGGAAAGGTTTTATTAGACGATCCAAGATGCTGTCGAACTCAAATTAAAATGTCCGCCAAGAGGCACACAAACCCTTTGTTTGCTTGTCAAAGTCACGTATTTTGGATAGGCTAATTACCAAAGTGTTACATTAATTTTTGACACTTTTTCAGTTCAGTTCAGTTCAGTTTATTAATAACTACTGATCTTGACAAACAATCAGAGGAAACAGCTTTATCATCAAAGTGTTTTACATTTACTTTTTCATCACTATTAACTACTAATATTGACTTACTCGAAACCCTGATTGAAAATCACTGAATAGTTTATTTCTATCTACCTATAAACTCAACAAGTTGCATATACACTATTTTCTCCAAAATTTTGTCAATAGTGCAAAACAAATTTATTGGATGCAATTCACTGAGATATTTTAATTTAACTACTTTGGGAATCGTGATTATACTGGAAACTGAATGAATATCATTTGGCACTGTTTTAACCACCGATTTACTATAATCATTCATTATATAGTTTGATGAGTTTGTGGGTTAACAGTTAGCTACTTTCTTGGATTGGTTGGTCATCTGATTTTGCTTTATCAGATTTATCAACCAGCAATCTTGGCAAACTGTCAAAGGAATCACCGAAGTGTTATGCATTCACTTTTTCAAACTTATCATTAACTAACCACTGATATTGACAAAGAGTCAGAAAAATTGGCTCTATGACCAGAAAAGTTAAATATTTACTTTTCAAGCTTATTAGTAACTACTGATCTTGACAAACAGTCAGAGAAATCAGCTTTTACAATTAAAGTGTTCTATATTCACTTTTTCAAGCTTGTTAGTAATTACTGATTTTGACAAATAGTCAGAGGAATCAGCTTTATGACCATAAGTGTTCAGCATTTACTTTTTCAAGTTTATGATTAACTACTGTTCTTGACAAATAGTCAGAGGAATCAGTTTTAGGACCATAAGTGTTCTGCATTTACTTTTTCAAGCTTATGATTAACTACTGTTCTTGACAAATAGTCAGAGGAATCAGTTTTATAATCAAAAGTGTTCTACATTCACTTTTTCAAGCTTATTTTTAACTACTGATCTTGACAAATAGTCAGAGGAATCAGCTTTATGCAGATTAAAAGACAAAAACAAATTTGTCATATCTACAATAATATCCTTGACCACAACAAACTTATGACTAACCACATCCCACACTTCATATTCATTTGGTTCATAACCAACCAGTACAGCTCTCCAGGATTTGATATCAAATTTTGTTTTCCTGGTTTTTATGTACCTACCTATAAACGGTATTATGGAACCAAACACTTATGAATATTTTACTTGAGGCTTTTTACTACGCCACATTTCGTATCGTGTTTCAAATTCTTTTAAAGTTTTAGTAGGGGTCAAACTAAGTGAGAATGTTGCAGTTAAAACTGCCTCCAACTTTTTTTTTATATAGCTGCATCATTTAATTTGTGAGGTTAATGGAATTGTCAAATGATGACTTATCTTCTTGCATACCAAAAATCTCTCATTTCAGTAGTAGATATTCACCTTCATCGTCACAGAATACATTGAAAATCTGTAAATTGAAATGTGCCCCACTTGCAGCAACTGAATCTTGAAACATACAAAATACATATGACTTATGACTCATCAAATATGTTACACAATGTGTATGTATATGTCATATACATCGATGCAAGATTTCTTATTTGAGAATACTTTCTCTTGAGTTTTGGAAGCATTGAATTTTACTAGGTTGTTAAGGCCCTAGTTGGTAATGGTGTTACATCACTGTTGATACAGTGAATCTCTTCTCTGGGGAGGCGTGTATGAGTGGCTGCTGTAAGCAGTTTGTCAGAAGAGACAGAGATGCCATCAAGCTACTATCGTCCGCAAAGCTTCAATGTATCAATACAAATAATTCTCATAAATTTCATCAGTAGGACACATACATCTTATAATCGGGAACCTATTAACCCTTTGAAATAATTATAGGTAACTACATCAAAATACCAAATAAATGAAAACTTCTAATAGTTGGGAAGCTTTTAATAGTATATTACATGCGGAGGTGGAAAGTGTTTCATTATTGTTGAGAGATACTATGGTTGACCGAGGTGCGAAGCGCCGAGGTCAACCAATTCTCGAGACAATAATGTGAACACTTTCCACCGAATTCTGTAAACTATTTTATTTTGAACCATTAATTATTGAAAAAAAATAGGGTAAAAATATGACAAAAATGGAATTTCGACTGACAGCCTGATACCGACATTGACATCTTATGAAATTTCAACAATATAAATACATGTGACATCTACTTC